GAATCTCAAGAAGAAAAAAAAGTTAATTGGCCAGCCAAATTTACGGAGTTAGAAAATGCTATGAACATCTGGGTACGAATAGTTCTTTTACATAATGGAATTCTAACAAATAGAATTCTACAAGTCCAAGCCAAAAAGTTCGCAGAATTATTAGGTATACCGGAAAATGACTTTAAGGCAAGTCACGGCTAGGTGGATAGGTTTAAAAAAAGGCATGATATTCAAAAATTTAAAATCCATGGAGAATCAGAGAGTGTGCCTATAGAAAATCTTCCTGAGGAAAGGCAGAAGTTAGTTGAATTGCTTTTGCAGTATAAGCCAGATGATGTCTATAATGCCGACGAAACTGGCCTTTATTTTAGAATGACCCCTGATCAGATACTTGCAACAAAACCAGTTAAAGGAAAAAAAAAATTAAAGACCAAATAACTATTCTTCTTTGCATAAATGCAACCGGGACAGATAAACTCAAACCATTAGTAATAGAAAAATCATTCAAACCACATTGTTTTAAAGGTGTTAAAAGAAAAAATCTTGGTGTAAAATATGATGCCAGCCAGAATGCGTGGATGACAACTGCTATTATTGACCATTGAATAAAGTCTTTAAATGCCTCGTGCCAACTAAAGTGCAAAAAAATTCTTCTGCTAATTGATGGTGCTTCATCTCATTCAAAAGATCAATATTCTCACGTTAAAGTTCATGTTTTACTAGCTCATATAACACCTTATTTGTAGCCATGTGATGCCGGTATCATATATTTATTTAAATCTCACTATTGAAAATTGTATCTTCAATGTATTGTAAACACCATCAATGCAGAGAAAGAAATATCTCGGCTTAATATCTTAGAAGCAATAAGGTAGTGTACAAACCAAGATTGTATAAGTTAAATTGGCAACCAATGTTTAAAAAAAAATAAATAAAAAAATAAAAAAGAGAAAAAAAAATTAAAAAAAAAGCAAATGTGAATTAGCAAATTAATCGTTAACCATTTAAAATTTGATCACTAAAACCAGATTTGTTATGGAAGCATGGGATAATATAACCTCTGAAACCATCATTAATTGCTGGAGAAAGACCGAAATAGTACTATCAAGAGAGTGGAGTAGATTAAAATGGAACGTTGAAGATATTGAAAGTGAAGCTGAAAGTGAAGTTGAATATGAAGGTGAAGTTGAAGGTGAAGTTGAATTTGAAGATGAAGTTATAAATCTCATTTCTGAAATCCCATCTAATTATATGAGGGTAATGGCTGCTAGTGATTATATTCGTGTTGATGATAATCTTGCAATAGAAGAAGTTGTTTTGAATGAAACTGCTATTCTTCAAGAAATTCTTCCTCATTCTGATTCCAATAGTAGTGACGATGAAAGCGATGTTGAAATTGAAAAAATTTCACATTCCATTGCCTTGGAGCAATGTAAATCACTCATACAATATATAGCGACAAGAGCCAGTAAAATTTGTTAAGGACCAAGACTTACCACAATTGCGAAGTTTGTTAAGATGAATTCGGTTAAATATATCTCAATCAAAAGGAGCAAAAAAAGGTAACCGATTTTTTTTAATAATTAGAAATAGTTTGTAAATAATATAAAAGTAAAGATATAGAGAAGGAACAGATTACTATACTTGTCTTCTCTTTTTTTATTTAAACTCATGACATGATCATCAGAGGACGTTGTGTAATGTTCTTTCGCCTTTTTTTTTTTTTATTATTACTTTTATTTCCTTTTTTTTTTTACATAGAATTTTATTTTTTTCTCCTTTTTTTATATGTTATATATAATATTGTGCAGTTGTGCAGCTTTTTATCGCTATCATTAGACTTATAGTATTCGTATTACTAAAGAAAATAAAAATAAAAATACTGTGATCAAGCAATTTGAATACAACCTGAAATCAGGTTTGAAATGCCCGAATTGAAACTAGATTAGAGAATAATATGTACTTAATTTGTTGTTGCCAATTATTCTTTGCCTTTTTACTAATTAAGGCATTTGTAATACAATCTCTCTTTGTTATCAACCCCCGCATATATCAACCAAATTACCTGATCCAAATAGGTTGATATCAATGGGGGTTACCTGTATTCTAAAAATTATAATAATAGCTGTAATATGCATTTATATATATTTTATCTTATCTAAATTTTATATAGAGGAATTATAAATAAGAATAAAAACTATATAATATAAAATAAGCTCCATTAACACACTAATATAATATTTATTAACACTTTAGCTAAATTTGAGAAGACCTTCTCAAGAAAAAGTAAAAGTTCAAAAAAAGCAGGTTTAAAAGAAACAAAAAAATAAAATTAGCTTAGAAAAAAAAACAAACTATTTCCTATTTTTTTTTATATAATAATTCTTTTAAAAAAAAAGACACAGTATTGATTTTCAATTTCTTGTTTTTGTTAATTAAAAATTTAATTAATATGTATATTATTATAATTTTTTCTATTACTAGATGAATGGCAATATTCAAATACTATTTTACTTAACTTTACAAAAATTTATTATTATTATTATTTTTTTTTTAAGCAATCTTGTCTTTATTCATTGGAACTGCTCATTAATGAAAGTACAAAGCACTTGCATTTTTAAAGCATAATGTTCTA